CTGAATCGTTAATTACTTGAATTATGAATTAATCTAAATAATTAAATGATTAAGGTAAAAGAAAAAATAGCGTATGGCATACATAGCCAGGGAAGTCTACAATGCTTTTTACCACAGAGTAGTTTGGGAAGCTAAAGATTACTAGTTCATTTGTTCACGCATGCGTGCTATCCACAGTGCACCACAGGGGCTTTGCACCAGTTGGCTAGCAGCATTTGGGAGACATCAGTTCCTTCGGGTTTTCTTCTGCCGACCTCACCTTGCATCTGAGCAGGTTCAGCACCAGCTCCTGCTTCCACTTGGAGTGCTGCTATCTTTTCCCACCAGAGTGGCACCTATTTATCTACTTAAATTTTTATATGCTTTCGAATTGCTAGGTGGATAGAAGCTAGACACAAATGATGTGACTTCACTCCACCATGCGGTGCCATGGGCTTGAACCACTGGAGTGCTATCCCTGGCTAGCAAATCCAACATCTTTAAGCCGCTGCACCACCATATCCCTGATTAATGTAATAATTAACACAGTACTTAGTTTTAATCACCACTGATACAATTTCCCAATACCGATCCATGTCAGCTTAATAGCAAGTGACAAAGAATAAGGATGAATATCCTCTCCAATATTTTGCCAAGCTGTAGCTTACAATCAGCAAAAAAAGTTATTTACAGAAGGATGCTACCTTGAACTCATTTTGTTGTACTTAGTTTTTAGAATCCTTGGTGCTCTCTGAATTTTTTGCAAATGTTTCATTACCCAAACTTAGTAATATCACCAATGCAAGGAAGAGTGGAATTTGTTTCCTATTTATATGCAGCAGTTTGCCATGCCAGTTTTGATGGGAATGTAGTTTTCTCTTTGGTAGTTCCTTGATTAGGCTACTTTTTTCTGCCTGATTTTTGCCTTATGTTAATCCTTACTTTACCTGAGTGTAGGTTACCAGAAAGAATGTATACTGTCTACTCGTGTGCCCTGAGGCCTCTTTGGGGTCTCTCAGAACAGTTACTGATCCACTCTTGTTGAAAATTGGAGGCAGAATTTTTGATATTTTGCAGGCATGCTATGCATAAAAATTGTTCTATAGTAAATTTAACTTAAATAAACCACACATGAGTGGTGGGTTTCAATTTATTTTACTACATGCATGTGCAGAAGCATCCGGGCGGGTGGTGGAGCCTCCTCCCGCCGCCACTAGCGGTTTGCCCGATCTGGGGCGAACTGGCAAAAACCCACCTCTGCCACACATGCAGTAAAAGGGGGAATAGCCTCACCTAATTTGCATCATTATTCCATCTTCGGTGGTCCCCTGATTTTCAAAAAGTGTTCGTGGAGCCAACTTCCAAGTGAGAGAATGGCAAGATAAAGGAACAAAAATAACACTGTGGCCAACAATAGTAACAAATCTGGTCCAGTAGAGACTTTCTGAATAAGGAGAGGATGAGAAATCGCCCACCTGTGCTCCATATGGTTGTTCTTATGAGGAGACCTTAGGAGTCAATTTGTGGGTTTGAATGCCAATCAACGAAAACAATCAAGCTTTCAAACACAGAATAGAATGTATGGATCCTATATTCATTAAGCTTCACTTTCTTATGTTTTGAATATAACTTTTTTAACATTCAAAATGATCTTCCTAGCAGTAAATGTGAAAAAATATCAGGTGAGTGATCCTTCATTCCAGAAAGAAGGGAAAAATATAATTGCAAAAAGACAAACTGGAAATATTTAATATTTGAAATATTGTGACTTTTGCTATAAAACTTTTTAAATAATTAAAACAAAAATAACTGTGTGAACAGCAATTGTTATAGTCCTTCACAAAAGGGATGGTAGGCTGTTATTTTTAACCAAGACCAAACAAATTGAGGCAAACTATATGATACAAAAATGAGTCTACTAGTGGGGACTAAAAACCTCAGGACGGAGGGGTGAGAAAGAAAAGTCTATTTTTATTTTTGAATTTGATGACTAGCAATTACATTTGCAAAAATAACTGTGATACTACATTGGAGTCACTTCAAAGGACTTGTGAACATATGGGAAAGAAGCACATAGTTAAATGATAGCAATAATATCTGGTTATGCAAATGCATTATTCAAAAAAAAAGTTAAAGAAGACATGAAGGAGAATAATTTGTAAAAATGTATAGGCTGACAGGATGACTGATAAATCCCAACCTATGAAGCAGAAATATCAGAAAATTAAGAAGTTATAGACTGTAAGACAAAAATGGAAATATAAATTATAACCCAAGAGGTTACAATCATCGGTAATGGATTTGCAAAAGAGGGTTGTTAAAGACACATAAAAATACTTAGATGAGAGAATGAAAATTTGGGTGGAGGTAAAA